TTTAATGAATTCATTCAGGGGTTCATTTCTCTTTGTTTACTGTACTTAAGTAGAAATTTGTGTTTGTGAAGCATGTGATGCTCCCCACCCTAGCGTAGGTAGGTTTCAGTTTGGTTTAGGCATTGGGTAACTCAACACAAGAAAACCTTTCTTGTTTGTCAGTAGTGTTTTTCTAGACAAGCAGAGATAAGGAAGCCTGCTTACCTTCTCTTGTCTTGTGTGACATCATCAAACATGAATGCTTAGTGTGTGCCAGACATTATTCTGGGTTTTTGGTTTGGTTTGGTTTTTTCCAGATAGGGTTTCTTAGTAGCTATGGGACCAGTTCTAGAACTTGCTCTGGAGACCAGGCTGGCCTCAAACTCACAGAGATCCGCCTGCCTCTGCCTCCCGAGTGCTGGGATTAAAGTCGTGCGCCACCACTGTTGGGCTCATTTAGCTCAGTAACAGTAGTTACTGTTGCTATCTGTTTTTATAGATGATGACACTGAGGTAGAGAGGCTGAAGAACTTACTCGGGGTCACATTGCTGGTCATTGCAGAACCGGGACATCACCCGACAGTCAGACCTATAAGGCTGTTCTTACTGTTCTTACTGACCTCAGTACACTGGCCTTGAGGGAAGTGTGCTTCCCACCACTTTCCTGAGCAAATAACACTTGGAATTTTCCTGCTGGGGACCCAAGGATGCTCCTGTGCTGGCTCTCCATCTAGTTTCAAGAATGTTTTCTGTTGTTTGACGTTGAACTTGTTGGTTAGTTTGAAGAAATGGATGTTATAAATGATGTAATTGGCTCTGAGTTGGTTTAAATCTATTGCGATCCTTCGCAAGTTATTGTGGTGTTGAAAAGGTGTCATTTAGCCTACTAAAATGTCATTTCCTGCTGTGTTGAGAATTGTAAGTAGCATTAGGATTCCTGAGTATGTTACTGGATGGCCACACACTAACTTGTGCCCCTTTCACAGCATGTATTTATGGCCATATGTATGTGGCTTCTAACATCATGAATGTTTTTTTGGTGATGATTCTTTTAAGACGGTATGAAAGAAAAAATGTCCTTGAATGGAGTGAGCATAGTTTAATTCTTAGGAAGATAAATGTGGAGGAAATACATTTGCAAAACATTCAGACAGCATCAGGGAATATTTTCTTTTAATAGAATTATGAAAGTGTAGGGGCTGGAGAGGAAGCGTGGTAGTTAAGAGCGGTGGCTACTTTTGCAAGAGGACCTGGGCTCAAGTCTTAGCACCCACATAGTGGCTTATAACCATCCGTACTCTAATTCCAGGGTCTCCAAGGCTCTCCTGTACACCAGGCACACAGTACACACATACACACGCACGCACGCACGCACGCACGCTCTCGCACACAAGTCAAAACACCCATACACGCAAAATAAACACACACACACACACACACACACACACACATATATATATACACATATATATATATTTAATTTTTATTTATTATGCAGTGTTTTGCCTGCATGTATCCCTGCAGTCCAGCAGAGGCACCAGATCTCATAACGGATGGTTGTGAGCCACCATGTGGTTGCTGGGAATTATCTCAGGTCCTCTGGAAGAGCAGCCAGTGTTCTTCACCACTGAGCCATCTCTCCAGACCAAAAATAAACATATTTTTAAAAAATTATCAATAATATACCCAGATAGTGGTGTTCATGTATGTGTGTGTGTGTTGATTTTTAAAAACATACCTTTCACGTTATTACTTGTTGTGTATGGGGGCATGCTTGCACATCTATGCACCACTGTGCTGCTGTACATGAAACCTGATTACATTTCCCATGGTAGTCACAACTCTTAGCATTACAATCTTAGAAAGTTTAGAGGAATTGTAATGTGTTTTTTGTTTTCCAGTCCTGGGGATCAAATCCATGGCCTTAGGCATGTTAGGCAAGAGGTAAGGTAGGGGGCTCTTGCTTGGTAGCCCAGATTGGCATTGTCTTCAGGCTATAAACACCAGAATGGAACTGTCCAAAAACAAAGAGTTCAAAAGTTATGGACTGAATATTAATTTCCTCAAAAATTTATATGCTGAAACTAATTTCTAATATAATGCCATTTGGAGGCAAACACAGGCAGGTAACTAATTAGTCAGGAGGGTAAAGGCCTTTTGAGTGGGATTAATGCACTTCACATTAGTCAGCTGAACATTAGCAAGAGTTGGACTTTTGTTTTTAGTGCTAGGATTGACCCACAAGGCCTTGTGCATGATAAACACACAATCTACCACTGGATTATACCCCAGCCCAAACAAGGTGTCCTTAAACTGAAACACGTAAAGCGAGGTTATGTATTGATTTTTGCTGAAAGTGTTTTGACTGCATGCTCTGTAAGTTCTGGAGGAACAGGACTCAGGGTTTCCTGGCTGGTGACATTATCTAGTGACCATGAAGAATGGGAGGCACCTTTGGGTCCACTTGCATCTTTCACTGCTAGGAATTTGTCTTTAGATGTTTTGACCATACTGTATCCCAAGTGTGGCTCTTAGTTTATCTTACTAGAATGCATTTACCCTCTTGGGTGTGTAGTTTCATTCTCATCACATTTGTGGACTTCTTAGCATCATCCCTTCAAACGTGTTTGTTCTGTTTATGCTAGTATGATTGATGGTGTCCTGTAGGTCTCTCAGAGCCAAGTCTTTCCCTGTTTATTCTTCCTGTTCCTTAGTAAACCTGTCTTCAGGTTTACTGCTTCCTGGTCAGATCTGCTGTTGAGCCGCTTAATGTATTTCTTGTGTTAGTTTTTGTGTTTTTTTTTTAACTTCAGAATCCTGTCCTGTCCCCTTTGACAGGGTCTTACTGTATAGCTCCAGCTGGACTGATACTCACTATGTACCTATACCCAGGCTAGCCTCAAACCTCTGCAAGCCTTCTGCCTCAGCTTCCCAAGTGCTGGGATTACAGGCATAAGCCACTCTATCTGTCTTGAGTCCAGAATTTTTATTTGTTTGTTTGTTTGAGACGGGGTCTTTCTTTCAGCCCAGGCTGCCCTGAAACCCAGCCTGTAGCCAGGGCTGGTCTCAAACTCATGTACTCCTACCTCAGCCTCCAGGGTGCTGTACTTGGTTCTCTATTTCTTTTTTTTCTTTCTCTTGTTGTTGCTTTAAAAAATTATTAATTTTCCCCCCATGTATTTTGATCTTATTCTTTCCCCTCCCCCTATAGTTGGTTTTCTTAAATGTAGTTTGGGGACTGGAAAGATGGCTAAACAGTTAAGAGCACTGGCTGCTCTTCTAGAAGACCTGGGTTTGATTCCCAGCACTTCCATGGCCGTTCACAACTGTCTGTAACTTCAGTTCCAGGAATCATTACCCTCTTCTGACTTCTGCAGGTGCCAGGCACACTCAGTGTCCAGACAAGAATGCAGACAAAGTTCCCATACACATAAAATAAAAATAAGAATATCTTTTCTAGAGAAGTTAATTCTGCCTGGCAGGGTGCCTCATGCACAGTGGGTACAGGTGCTTGCTGCCAAGCCTGACTGGATCTTTCATGGTAGTTGGAGAGAACAGACTCCCACAAGTTGTCTTCTGAACATCACATAAGTAAATCAGCAAATAAATGCAGGGTTTTTGTTTTGTTTGAGACAGGGTTTCTCTGTGTAGTCCTGGCTGTCCTGAAACTTGCTCTGTGGACCAGGCTGGCCTTGAACTCATAAAGATCTTCCTGCCTCTGTCTCCCAAGTGCTGGGGTTAAACATGTGTGCCACCACTGCCTGGCTAAGTGCAGGTTTTTTTTTAACATTTATTTATTTATTTGTTTATCTATTTTGTATACAGTGGAAGTGGGCACCAGATCTCATAACAGATGGCTGTGAGCCACCATGTGGTTGCTGGGAATTGAACTCAGGACCTCTGGAAGAGCTGTCAGTGCTCTTAACCTGTTCGCCATCTCTCCAGGCCCTGAGTGCAGATTTTTAAATTCGATTTGTACAAGACACAATAGACTTTTTCTTGTTACCGCTAGAGAGAGATTTACAGCTGATCACATGGCAGTATTTGAGTCCCAGCCAATCCTGGACCCTCTGAGTCATGTGGAGGCAGTTCCCCTTTGCTCGTGTAGCCCAAACTGGGCAGTCCTCTGCTGCAGCCTCGTAAATGCTGGGATTATAGGCGTGCAGCACTATGCTTGGGGTTTGTAGAGCTCGTTGATGAGGCATGGGGCGGGGGAGGGATGTCCACAGGTGTCATGCAGACTACCAAATCCCAGCTTGTATACTCAGCTTCAGCATCCTCAGATTGGGGACCAGCACATCCTGGATGCCATGGATATCAGGGACCGTTCAACTCATCCAGTCCTCTTGTAGACTCTTTGCAGAGGAAACAAAGGAATACCAAATGTTGAGCAGGCCTTGTTCAAAGTGTTATCATTAATCAGCTTTAGATTGATTAGTTGGTCTGAAATCAGACTTAATTCATTGCATTATCTTTGTTAGAACTCAAGAACTTCTTTTTTTTTTTTTTTCTTTTTTCTTTTCAGACAGGGACTTCTGTAATCCAGGCTGGCCTGGAACACACTAGGTTGATGATACGACCTTAAAATTTTTTTTTTTTCCTCCTGAGACAGGGTTTTTCTGTGTAACAGCTCTGGCTGTCCTGGCACTCACTCTGGAGACCAGGCTGGTCTCAAACTCACAGAGATCCACCTGCCTCTGCCTCCCGAGTGCTGGGATTAAAGGCATGCGCCACCACCGCCTTCTTTATCCTCTTACCTCTACCTCCTGGGTCAGCAGCACCCAGGGTCAGAGGTGTGACCATCACAGCTGTTTTATCCAGTGCTTCATGTGTGCTGAGTCACGTTCCTAACCTCCAACCCCAGCAGCTTTCACCCCATTTTCTTAGTTGAGCTCCACCCTGTTCTGGTCTGTCTTGATATGAAGCTCACCAAAGTGGAGCACGAAGCTTTGCAGAAATGCTCAGGCTTGCTCTTCCTCTTGCAGTCTCCCTGACTTCATCTTCTTTCTTTCCCCTTACAGGAAATGACTTAGAGGCCTTATGGATGCGACTGTGCTTTCTTTCTTCAGGCTTTACAGCTGCAGGCCAACCCAGGCTGGAAGCCCTGCTTGTTAATGTTACAAGGAACCTGCTACCTCAGCAAACAAAAGCAAGAAGACACACAGTAACAATGCCATGCTTAAAGAAAACTTGTTTCCAGAAACCCTTACAGGAGGTTTGGAAGTTTTTAGCACTGAAAAGCAGCTTTCCAGGTAAATGGATTTGACAGGCAGGTTCTGTCAATTCTGCAGAGGTGTGCTCTTCCTTAAGGATTTCTTGTGAAGTAACTAACCCCTTCCGCCTAAATGCTGTTGACCAGCGTAGGGTCGTTTTTTGGTATATAGAAGATACATTATATTACATTTTAAAAGTTAAGTTATTTTTCTGCTGTTGTAAATGTAAGTATCAAAATATTCTTGCAAAATAATTATAAGCAAACATTTTTCTCAGAAAGCATATCTTTATTGAGGGTAGGATGCATTTCAGACACACTTTTATTTTTTGTCAGAATTCCTGCCTACATTGAAAACATTAATTATATAATAAGCCTGCCATTTTTTCCTCACCTTTATGTTGGATCACATGGTTACCTGCCTCATGGAAATGCCTTTTCTAAAACTTAGATTTGCAGAACTCCACTATTTTTATGTATAGCTACAGTTTTGGGAAAAAAGGACTCAGAAC